GGATTGGCCAACTTCCTCATCCGGCCATTCAACTGTGACGTTAACCCACAGCCGGCCTGGAACATCCGTGTTTGAATAGGAGACTCTCTAAATGCTCCTAAGAAAATTCACCTTGATGTTGGAGTGTGCCAGAGTAAATGAAAATACCTTTCTTCCCAGCACATATTAGAACTAGTTTTTACATAAGATCCTACTTTAAATTTAGTCTAAAAATGACCACAGTGCTGAAGAACTCGCATCCTCTAACTCAATGGACAGGGTGATTAAAGAAAAACGACTGGATGAGAGAGACTGAGGGCACCCATTTGTGTTTTCACTTTTAATTAAAAATAATATAAGAAAAAAAATCACAAAATGCCTCAGTAACATTACATAACCAAACTGTAGAGTGAAACAGAGCATAATCATAAAGTAAGGGAAAAGATTTATGGCCTTCAACATATTTTACAAATGGCATGATGCATCCACCACTATGTCTTAAAGCCCTGAGGGTTAGGAGTGATGGAGGGTCAGTTTTATATGTAGACCGTGAAAGGAAAATTTTCCTCTCATCTTTCATCCATCCAATTTTTCATAAAGACCACATTGGTGGAGTTTATATAAAAAAACAACAAATTTTACCACCTAAGGCAGGGGTCACCAACGTGGTTCCCGTGGGCACCAAGGGGCCCTCAAGGACAACATAGGGTGCCCTCAGCATCTTTTGAAAACAGAACAATTCACCAGTGGACTAAATCTGAAATGTTATTTTTACTGAAGCTCTTATTTTGAAGCATTTATGAAGCATCTTATCACATCAATAAATTAGAACATTTGAGGATTTATATGGATTTCATCATGAGAATATTTAAAAGCAAATTAAAAATGAAAAGAAACAATAGAAATATGTTTATTATCTATGAAGTTCAGGTAAACGCCGACTCCTCTAGTTCATAGCTCAGTATTGGTAGCCCGTCCTATGACTCAGTACCCATAAAGTAGCCCTCAGCCTTATGAAAGTTGGTGACCCCTGACCTAAGGTGTGGATCTCTGAAGATCTACCAGGTACCGTCAGCTTCTTGCCATCTTATTTGATGAAGTTCTGAAGGACGTCCATTTCCCGGCAGGTTTGCATACCCGTTCCATCGTTAGATAATGGGTTGAACAGAGCTCTATGAGATATTTAAAGCTTGGGAAATGGTCTTATAAGCTAAACTTGCATTTTAAGATCTCCATAACTTTTTCAGTGTTCCATCTGCTGTGCTCATTGGTCTTCATGATCTTATTTGTTTATAAAAAATACCTTTACAAACCTTGTTGCCCTTCAGAGAACAGCTGAATGTAAACCTTGGTTTGATTACCCAAAGTTGGACTCTATTTATTAATTAAAATGAAATGTGAAAGCTTTTAGTTGCATTATATTTTATTTGGTGGTATCGGGGAAAAGCGGCAGAATTTATACGTAGGTTAAATCTCAGGTTTTTAAATGTAAATTAGGCTGAAAGCCAACAATCATTTGCCTTCCTGTTCATCATTAAATATGGCATAGTCATAAACTTCCAGTGAAACACAAGTTTGTGAAGGAAAGTTGAAACTTCAACATAATATAAAAAATGTAAAACATATTTTGGCAATAGTAATTGTCTATTTGCATAAAAGTGGCCAAACTGTTTATTTTGTTGCACGGACAGTTACGGGTGTAAAGATAATTACCACAAATGATTTATTGTATTAAAATATTTACCTTTTTGATTTGCTTTTCCAAAATGTCTATCAATACAGTGTTTGCCAAGACCATAACGCATGTAGATACATGCATTCCAGCAATGTGCAGGAACCCACAGTATTTTACTGAAAACCTACCAAGTAAAACAAAGTCATTGCTCTGGACTCTGAAGGGAAGGGAAATCCAAACCAACACTTTCCCCTGACTCACGTCTCTCAGTCTAACCGAGCAGATGCGTGGTGAGAGCTCCGTTCCACTAAGAGCAGCACAAACGAGATGAAGAGAAATTCAAGAAAGAAGCTGGGAAAAAAAAGCCAGGAGAGAAGCCAAGGACAACACAAGTAGGCCATGTTTCTCTCCATCTTTAAGTTTATTTAATTCCCACCTTCTATCAAAAAGTGCAAAGCCAAATCTGGTAGCATAGAAGAAACTATTTCCAATGCAGTTTTGTATAGAGAAAAGTGATGGCTTGCATCAAACTCCAGTTTCAAGCCTTAGACGAGGACGAAGCAGATATCAGCGCCATGCATCACTAAACTGTGAGAAGACAACCGTATCTCATGCGGGCTGCAGTGGACAGACTGTGGATGATGACACAGCTTATCTCATCCCAGTAAAATGAAAATAAATGAGTGAAAACATGAACGACAGCCAAGAAAAAAGTCCTCCTCGCACATCGTGTGCATAAACTGCGGCGCAGCTAAAGCCCGGAGCCCCCATGCTCGGCCCTCGTGGGACCCACCGCTCTCATAGAGGAATGTGATGATGCGAGCGAAGAGGTCAAAGCCCGTTCCCACACTGAAGAAGCACCAGATCAGGTCAAACATGCACTGTTACCATTTTGAACAGTTATTAATGCAGCAATGTTAACAAGTGAGGAAATTAAAACAGGCCTCAACTGAATACACAGCAGAACAAGACGGGCCCCCACCTTGGTACTGCAACAGCCGACAGACTGAATACATTTATCATCATTGAACAACCTGCACTACCTTTTAGTCACGTTCAGCAAGAAAATCTGCACACATTTTACAAAGTGTGCTTTTGTCAAGAAAAAGGAAAAATGTAGCCAATTTCTAAAAGTTGAACTGATGGCAGAGTCCTTAGCAAGAAATCGACTGATTCATATTTTTTTTTGAAGGCTAATGCTGATACGGATTATTCTGGAATCAGTCTAACTGATCCCCGATATGTGCTGCAAATATTTTTGGGCCGATTCCTGAAACCGATATTGCTTTTTCTTCCTCCATTTACATCACTGCATGCGCTTCTCTTTATATCGAGGCATGGCGGCTAAATCTTCGAATGAATCGGTCAATGCGGGCATATATCGACCGATACCAATACAAGGGAAAAAATTGGGTCTATCTTCACTGTTGATTTTCACAAATATTCCAAAGTTATTATTTGCTTACGTTACTAAGCAGACACTTGAAATATCTGCATCAATCGGGAATCTAACTTATTCCAACTAAAGGTTTATTACTAACAAGTCAAAAAAACAAATGCTATTCAGCCAAACTCTGTCCCGAACGTTTAACATCTCATATAAATCTAAGGAATACTAAAACCTCTTTTTTTTTATTTTAAATACAGGTATAGCCTCCATGGACAAAATAGACAAAAACAACCAGGCATGAAAAATTCTTAGCTCAGAAATTCATAGATTTCATAGTGTGAACTAATTTTTTAACTCAAATATGAAAGTATGATTGTCACACAAATAAATGCTAGTAGTCTTGGTAGGTAGTGATCTACCAGACGATAACAAGAGGAGATGCTTTCAGAGCATCTCTATGCAAGTACAGCTGCAGCACAGTTAAAAGCCTGTTAAATGAACACAGTGATGGTTAATGTCCACTCAGTTCCTGCTCATAAAACTTTTTAAGAAGTGGATCAATTAATGTCTCAACTTAATCAAATATTCTTACATTTCAATGCATAAAAAGTTTGGACTACAAACGACAGTTTCCAGAGGTCTCACTTTTTATGTTTCTAAGTTTTAGTCCAAAAAGTACGGAGCCCCTAAAGGGACATGGAGGAAAATATAAACTTTTGCGAGATCCTACAATACTTTTGCAAGATCTTGCAAAAAATAAGCTTTTGCGAGATCTCGCAAAACGTTTTGCCATGTCAGCGAACCGGAAGTAAAACAGACACACAACAGTGGAGGTGCAAAGTGTACTGCTATATGAGGATAACACGCCCATGTGTTAGCTACAACCATGGAGGTTGATTTGGAGAGGTTCTTAATTTCTAGAGAAGTCCCAAAACACGACATTACACAAAAGAAGAGGGACAAGGTCAGTATGCAATCCTACGGAGCCCCTAAAGGGACATGGAAGGAATAAATAAAACTTTTGCGAGATCCTGCAATACATTTGCAAGATCTCGCAAAACTATTGCGGGATCTCACAAAAGTATTGCGAGATCTTGCAAAAAATAAACTTTTGCGAGATCCTGCAATACTTTTGCGGGAGATCTCGCAAAACTATTGCGGGATCTCGCAACACTATTGCGGGATCTCGCAACACTATTGCTGGATCTCGCAAAACTATTGCAGGATCTCGCAAAAGTATTGCGAGATCTCGCAAAAAATAAACATTTGCGATATCCTGCAATAGTTTTGCAGGATCCCGCAATAGTGTTGCGAGATCTCGCAACACTATTGCAGGATCTCACAACACTATTGCGGGATCTCGCAACACTATTGCAGGATCTCGCAAAACTATTGCAGGATCTCGCAAACGTTTATTTTTTGCGAGATCTCGCAATACTTTTTTTTGGTTCATAAGATCTCGCAAAACTATTGCGGGATCTTGCAAAAGTTCTTTTTTTCCCCTCCATGTCCCTTTAGGGGCTCCGTAAAAAGTTCCCTATAAATAGAAAAAGGTTTAGAGATGTATTCTATCAAAAGTTTAAAAGGAAGGAAGGACAGAAATGAAAATAAGGAAGAAAGTGAGAGCTAGAGAGAAGAAATACAACAATGGAAAGAAGAAAGGTAGGACAGAGGGAGAAGGAAAAGTAGGATGATAGGACATGACAAAGACAAGGAAAGGAGGAGGAAGAACTTACAGTATGTACATATTGAGCTAACATGGAAGGAAAGAAGTAAGGGCTCAGGAAAAAAAGAACAAAGAAAAGGAAAAAGAAAGGAAAAACTTGAGGACATGAAGGAAAGGAAGGATAATATTTAGATGAGAGAGAGAAAAAACTCATACTTTACATACAAGCCTTTTCCAGGCCCATTAGAAACCCAATTAATGTCCAAAACATCCACAGTGGTTTTACTTACTATTTGGATTCCAGTTGAAAACAAACTGGTCGGCTTCACATTCTGTTTTTGCTGCTCTATCTGCGTCTCCAGCTGGGCAGCACGAACTTTGTGCTGAGCCAATAAGATGGTGGCAGGAAGCTGAGATTGTTCCTGGAGGGACACAAGTGATTTGGGGAGAGTTCAGCGTCTGTCATGAAAGAGTTTCATTAAGAGCTTTTCCTTCAGAGAGCAACACAGGCGGCAGCCTCCGTCCGTCACTCATCACTGGAGCTAAGATAACCATCAGTAAATGATGCTTTCAGGCAAGCACTCACTGAACTGAAGGCAGAGATATTAAAAAGTTGTGACCGTGCAGCAGACGGCGTCTAGAAAACACAACCTCTAATTAAATGCAAGGTCAGGCACATATGTCTAAGTGCACAAACTACAAGAGCTGGGATCATGAAACAGCCTTCATGCAACAGGCAGGAATGCTGAACCAGTGCCGAGGTTAGGAACGAGCCAGAAAAATAACCTTGAAGGAAAACTCCAAGGTTATCTGTATTTACTAGAAACCTAAAGATCTAAATTTCAAACCACTTTTTAAATAAATATGATCTTTCTTACAGCTCGTCATCTTTCTTTTCTGTTTTATTTTTTAATCTATAGTTAAAAAGTGTAATAAGCCAAAATTAGCTGGTTGATTAGTCTGGTTATTAAGGAAAAAGAAAAGCAAATAGCATATTTTCAGCCATCTGACAGACAGAGCGCAGCAACAATCTGGGCATTCCATTAATAAGTGGGTAAGTAAACTTTTCTTAGTTACTAGTAACCAACCGGTTCAGAACTAAAATTATAACATTTATCTAAGATAAGAAACAATTTCAACAATAGCTTTGATTGTTCAAACATTCTTGGCTTGATCATTTAAATGTTTCTATTAAATCTAATTCAAACTGTGACGTTTAAACATTTTAAAAGAAATGGTAAGAAAATGATAAGAAGCTGCTGCCCTTAACACCAATATGTAAATTAGTGTTTTTACTGATAAGAATACAGTAGATATGGAAACTAAATAGATAAATTCTGGTGCAAATGGTCACAGAGAGGTAGAGATGTCAGAGCCCAGGAGAGTTCCCCTCAGAGGGGGGTCTGAGCTGATCTCATCTGCCTACAGTCAACAGGCGCTGTGCCTTAAACAAACAAGCACACAGCTTAGCCTGCTATCTGTGATGGTGCTTCTGCAGGCAGCTCTGCAGGAACAATAACTTCCAAAGCCCTCAACTCAAAACAATGAAGCTGAAAGGCTTTGGGATCAGAGAATGAGAACAATGCAAGCCACAGTGCAATGACTGGTAATAAGCTCTTAATGGTGTTGCAGGCATCAAGCCTCAGGCTGACTGTGTAAGTGTGTGTCTGTGGATGCGAGGTAAAGTATGCGCAGAAGCTTTTTTTCCCCCTTGTCGTTCCTGATCCCTAGATTTATCAGTTTTAGTCAATTCGGTGACACAACACGTGCATTTCTCACCAGTTCATCCAGCAGAGCCTGTTTGCTCTTCCTCTTGGCCTGCAGCTGCCTCTTCTCCTCCTGCAGCACCTCCAGCCGCCGCTGCTCGTTACTCTGCTGCTCCAGAAGCAGCAGCTCCTCCAGCTCTTCCTGCTCCCGCGTCTGAGGGAGGAGAAGGAAACAGGATCTTAAAAACAACCTGCAACATCACTGACCACAAATCAGAAGTCATGCGAGCTCCAAGCCACGGTCTGGCCTTGTCTAAGGGCGGAGTGGAGATGGAGCATACTAGCTTGGCCTTATTCCTCTGGATGATGTCTTTGTTTTCCCTCTGGTACTGCTCCATCCTCAGCTTGGTGTTCTCCACATCGATGTTGTTTGTTAGGTTGTAAACTGGATGTAAAACAGAAAAAGGAGAACGGATGGCTTTTAACTCTAAAGAAGCAATGCTGTGTAACTATGAAGTCTTTTTAAAAAGGGATAAATTATAATCTAAATATTGCTTCTTGTAATATAAGAGGATCAAAACAATGTAATAAAATAAAATCTGAAAACTTAGCACATAATATGCTTCTGTGCCAAACACTGATCTATTTCTCTTAAACAGAACCAAACACATTAATTTATCACCTGAAAAACAAAATACAGTGGAAGTAATTACAAAAAAATCTATACATAAATCATTATCTTCTGTAGATGGTCAGTTCTATTCATGTCCACTTTATTTCATGCATTTGTAATTGCATTATATCCTCTAGGGCAGCGGTCCCCAACCACCAGGCCGCGGACCAGTACAGGTCCGTGGGTCATTTGGTACCAGGCCGCACAGAAAAAAGTATGTATATATATAAAATTTATCGACGATCAGAGTCTGAGTGATGTTTTATTTTGAAAAATATAAAAAATTGCGGTATTCTCTCCCAATTCCATCAGTCGGTGCATCTGTGCCTCTTGACACAGGTTAATACAGGTTAAGACTCATCCTCTCTATAACATCCTATCTTTGTGAAGCGGGATTTTCTGCAGTTACAATGACCAAAACAAAGCTACGGAGCAGACTGGACATCAGGAGCACACTTCGTCTGTCATTTTCTCCGATTACGCCTAGATGGGACCGGCTTGTTGCTTTATTTTTATGCTGTTTGTATTTGATTTTATGCCAGTCGTATCATTTTACTCTATCGTACCCCGACCCCCCGGCCGGTCCGTGAAAATATTGTCTGACATATAGCGGTCCGTGGTGCAAAAAAGGTTGGGGACCGCTGCTCTAGGGGGCTTCACTTGTAGCCTTCATGGCCACAGCAAAGTGTCTGGACAACAGAGCAGACGTTGGATATTTGGACTGTTTTACAACATCTAGCTGATTGAAGTGGTTCATAAGATCTGTTGAATCCATAAGAGTTCCACTTTCACTGTTAGTGTAGCAAAAACCTGCTATAGGTCAGATGATGACGTCTAAAGTTTCTGCAGATTTTTTTCAGCTCTTTGCCGGTTCCTTTCAAGGCAAACTTGCTTGGACTGCTTTATCCTAGCATGTTAGCAGCTATGAAGTAACTTTATTTCTATACTGTGAAGCTTCTTACTTTTATTTTTTTGTAATTCTTTGAATCCCTAGACAAATGCAATAATGTTCTTTATGAAGCCCTCAAACAGCACTCTTAATCTCACCATGGTTTTATCTAGTACTTCCAAGCTAAATGCCTTGAGCTTTAAACAAGGCAAACAAGGCAAACTAGGCGCTGGTCAACAAATTGCATTGGCAACAAAACAATTATTAAAAATTCCATATTTATTGGTCATGTCACTCATTCAACAAGCGTTAAAACCCCAGCCTTTATGTGGTGATAATACACTTAAAAAAGGTTTGCCTCCACACAAAAAAACATGAGTTACATCTAGCGTGCAAATCTATGCACGTGGGCTGGAAGTAAGCAATTTTCCATGTCAAAGTAGAGTGCAGAGATTAATACCCCATTTACACTACCCTTGAAAAACCGATCCATGCCGAGACCGGTCCGAGCTCGGATCAGTTAACCAGGCCGAGCTCGGTTCTGACGACCGTTTCTGAGGGGCATTATCGCGAACTACTGGAATGGAGTGTGAATCGGGATGTGCAGCCAGATGGAGATGACGCGTTCTGCTCATGCGCTCTTGTTATCAGAGCACCGAGCCAGGGAAAAACCGAGCCGAGCCCACCTCTGGAACTGGTCTGCAGTTAGCTCGGTTCGGTTGTGTCTAGCTCGGTTCAATTCAGTTTTCTTTCCATTTACACACAATAAGTTATCTCAGTTACTAAGCTCGGACCGGTCTCGGCATGGTTTTTCAAGGGTAGTGGAAATGGGGTAAATGGTTTCTGGACAAGAGAACTTTCAAGGCCATGATAACAAAGCCAAACATGTTTATGCTTGTGGTTAAAACAGAAGAAACTCAAAATCATATCACAATTGTAGTTTAGGCCAGAAGAAATGGCACTTTAGATTTTTGGCAAGATGCTGCAATCATGTCACCTGTGTGGGATTTTAGTCTTATTAAGCAGGAAACATCCATATTAAGTAGTGGGTGACCTGGTTTGTGCTTATAATTTGTATCTCATGTTGAAATACGTTTTATTCAGTTTCTTTATTGATATTATATTGCTAAAACTGATATTAAACAGAAGAACTTATAGATTGCAGTAAGTGGTGACTTCTTTTATAACATCATTGTATTTTTACTCCTTTAGAAGCAGAACCAAGGGTGTCAATTGGACACTGATAGGGACATTAGTCCATCCAATTTGAATCTCCTCAGAGGGATTTATTTCTCTGATCCAAAGCACTGCCTGGTCCCAGCGCTGTTAAAAAACTCAGAGCCAATGAGAAACATCAAAGTTATTCCAGATTGAGGCTTTCCTCCTGGGGCTCCTACCTATGTCCTCCACCTGCTCCAGATAGTCGTTATAGTCTCTCAGGCTGGAGAAGTCGAATTCTCTCTTATTATAGCTGTGGAAAACAAAAGGAGCGATCACATGGCAAGCACAGACAACAACAGCATCCATTAAATCAACCATTTTATAAACCATCTCTGCATTCTGCCCAATATACACATGCATTAGAACTCAATTAGGGGGCTATTAAAATACACTGATAAGATGGAGTGAAAGAGGGCAGGGAGGGGCTGCGGAGTAAAAACCTGTCAGAGAAAAGGGTTCTGCCCCCACCCCCCCGGGGAGACTCATTGTCTACAAAACAAACAGTGTAATGAGGAAGACAAAGGCAGCTTAAGAAGTGGGAGGAGGCCTGGAGTAACATATAAACACACAGAACCACACCCCTAATGCTTCACCCCCCCACCCCAACCCAACTCACTCACATTTTCATCACCTTCTTGCGGATCTCTACTTCCTTGTCCACTGAAGCATCTTCGAAGAGCTGCACGCGAAAGTTGCTCTTCCTCAGAGGCGTGTCGCACTGCACGCAGTTCCCCGAGCCACGCACAAACAGCATTTCCACACAGTTCTCGCATCTGCAAGAGGGACAAGAAGACACAAATTATAAGGATGACAACACAGCCAAACAGCTTTGAGTGGCTGCTTGTACAAATAAATTTTTGTACACATTTCTCCATGAATCATCTTTGGAGCAGCGGATGATGATGATGGGAGAAAGGAATATTTCTTCTAAGTGCATGAAAGATGGCCGGGATTAGGATTTGACTGTCGATTAGGCCGTCTCACACTCTCAGACCAGAGAAAATTAGCCTGACATCCATTCTGTCGAGCGTCTGTCTGCACTGGAAAATTTTTGCTTTATTGTTATTTCAGCAAACCTCAACCATTCTGCTGGTGAAGATTCTCAGTCAACCATTCCTCCACGTTGCGTAACAAAAGAAAATCCATCTCAGTAATTTGTGCAGACTTCATGCACAGAACAGATTATATGTTGAGCAATTTGGGGCGGAAAACCTCAGGCTTTTGTGTTTTTCATTTATACCTGATAGGTTTGTGATTTTAAAGCTAAAACAACAAATTTAGAAAATAATTCATTATTTTTTATTATGTCTGCCATATATTTTTGTAATAAAGTTTCATATCCCTCAAACTGAAACTGATATTTTTTCAAATATATAAAGTTTTACCATTAAAGACAACCTGTTATTACAACGGCGTTTCAAGTGTTATGTCTATTTAAAAAGAGGCAGAGCATCTGACCTTTGTACAGAAGTCTCAGTCCTCCATAAAACCCCAAAATCTTACCAGCATGTCTCTTCACTCCATTTCCTCACAGACCATTTTCAAAATAAAGGCGCTAAAGCCACAATTTTCTTCTATTTCATGAGAGGTAGAATAAAAAACAAATAATAAAGATATTGCCCATTTGGTTAAATGGAGGACTAAAACATTATTAATCCTGTTTTCAAAAAGCTGTGATCAATTCCAATAACATAAATAGTTCCCCTGTGAAAACATAATGCATGCTAACGATTTTAAAAAGCAATATGCCCCGATCTGAAAAAATCCAACACCAGACTTCCATCAGTCTGGCAAAGGTTACAAAATCAATTCTAAGACTTTCCTACTCCATTAAACATCAGTGAGAGCCACGATTTTACATCTTACATTTAAACAGACAACATCTTATGATCCTCAAATGATTTGGGATATTTTATCAACTGACAAAATAGGTAGAACTTTTTGCACATCTGAGGTAAAACTATCAGTATTTCAGACAAAGAGCATTGCGCTTCCAGTCAAACATGGGGGTATTTTAAAGATCTGGTCCAGCTTTGCTGCTTTAGGACCTGCACATCTAGCCGTTAGTGATGGAAGCAAGAATTATGTTGTTTACAAGATAATCCTGGAGAAAGTCCAGCTATAATTTTGTGATTTAAGTTCAAACAGGTGTGCAATGCACGGGTCAAACAGGTCAAAAACGCAAAATCAAAGTTTTGAAGCGGCCGAGTCAAACTCCAGACTATGAAACTCGATTAAATCATTATTTGAAAACTGATATTTGTATTAACTTAGATTATCTTTAATTGACATTCAAATGCATTTGATGCAATAAAACATTTACGTGTGAATTAAAAGCATAGGAATGGAAATTTAACATAAAACAAAAATAAAACAGAAGAGTCATAATAAGTTTCTCATCTGGTCTTCATCTTCTCACATAATGCTGGACTTCTAATCGAGGATGAAATTCAAAATGAAAAACTGAGGATCTCCCAGTCTGGAAGGTTTGCTCTATGCATCTTCTCAACAATGTCTAAGGCAGCCTGATCAGCAGGCACACCTGAGGGCACAATCCTGAGTCTAACAATCAATCACACCTTTATGCAGGTAGGCGTTTACCCATCAGTTACACTCAAGTGGAGAGTAGACACTGCAGACAATGGGAATGTCCCTTTGTTTCCCCCTGAGAGACAGGAGAGGCTGGATAAACGTTTGCACAGTCGATCTTTTAATCAAGTCTCCATGGAGCTTTATTGCCACACAAATCCAACTTCCAGCTCATGACCACCCTCACAAAAATGGACATCTGGTTTCCCAAACATCGCCCTCAGTTTTAAAGCACCAGGCATCATCTGAATTTTAGAGCAAATTTGAGAAGAAAAGCATGTTTTTCAGAACACCTCACTGGCGGTATGGTTGAGTCACTGCGTTGCAGTGGAATAGAGCCAAATCAGAAGTAGAGCAGAGAGTTCAGAACAGAGGCATCCTCCAAGACGTTTTACCTAATCAGCAGGACACAAAGCACAAAACAGAGCAAAAGAGGAAAGTGCATAGACATGGAATTTCTCTGTTTACATCTAAAGCTTCCAATAAGGGTCAAACAAACCCAACCTGCCACGACTGAAAGCACTAATACTATCAGGCGTCTGTTTGGCTTGGCCATAGCCAAGCTGAAATGTTGAAAATGAAAGCAAAGCGACGGCCAGAAACATGTGTGGTGTCCAGTTGACGTCTCAGAGGTCGGAGTGCTCCCTGGAAGAGGCAGATGTTCTACGCGGCCTCAGGCTACAGCAGATCTATAGGCCTCACCATATGGAGGTGGATGGAGGGATTCTGCTTGTTTCCACAGGCCCACAAAGAGCCCATTCATCAACACGGGGCAAGGAGCGGGGAGTAGCTTGCCCCCTGCCCCATAAATGGACCACACAACAGAACCCTCTAAAGGGGAAATCCTGTGTAACTCTAGAGTCGAGAGGTGACCCCTTAAAATAAGGGTGGAGACTTTCCGTATTCTGCTCTCTGCCAGCTTTAATGTTCAGAGACATCTTGCCACTGAAACCCTGCTCAGACAGAAAGACGTTTCAGGGGTAGCAGCTTGCCAATTCTATGTCCCAGGGCTGTTGTTGCTGACAGAGGGCTTTGGACTCCTCCCTCTCTCACCTGTCCTGCTCAGAGCTCCAGGCTCCTATCTCTTCATCTGCAGCTGTCAGCAGGTCAGAGAGGGGGGTGGTAATAGGAAGGTAAACAGGGTCCTCCTGGCTCAGCAAAGAGACTCTGCCGGCACATCCCAACACTACCACCCCATTGTCACACAGCCTGCATCTTTGCAGGAAAGAGCCAGAGCAAAGGATGCCTACGGGTTACTCTAATAGAGTCGTTCACCTTCCCAGACCAAAGACTGAGTCCAGACTGCGCTAGGAAAAATAAACCTGGGAAAACAAATTGATCATCAAATATCTGATACAAGGTGTAGCTGAACTTCACAAAACAGGTAAAACATATAATAGGACATCCAAGGACTGTAGAATGCCAATCAGCAGTGTTCAAACATAAACTAAGGAGTGAAATATGAGGGGTTTAGGAAGATCAACAGCAGTTTGAGCCCTTGAAAAGTGTTGATGATGAGAACAAAAAAAAAAAAGTCTCAGAAAATACTAGGGCTGTGCAATATTGCTTAAAATTGCATAAGCATTTCATATCAGTTGATCTTAATAATTATTAAGATAAGCTATTTTTTTTTTTTTTTATTCACTTGAAATTAAGGCAAAAAATAACAAAATGTTTAGTTTTAACTACGGCTGCAACTAACGACTATTTTGCAAATTGATTAATCTGTTGATTATTTTTTCGATTAATTGTTTAATAACCGGACAGCCAAAGGTACCTTAAAGAAGATTTTTTTAACAAAATTAAACGAATTGAAACTCAAACATCTAGAATAAAGTACTTCTGCATAGAGCATATTGACAGACGGAAAAGTTTCTTTTTTGTCTTAAATACAAATTTTTATATATATTTTTTTTTAATCTTGGTAAAATTACTGCTCTAAGTGGGTTGCTTGATCAGCTAAAGCCATGTTTTATAGTTTCTATACTCCAGCTAACAATTAATCGATTACTTAATTAGTCGACAATTATTTAAAAAATTGATTGATCACGATTAATCCGATTAATTGTTTCAGGCCTAGTTCTATCACAACCTATAAAAATATAACCTTAACCTTTAAATATAGGTCAGCTCTACTACCTTAAACATAAACATGGTTAAGATGCAAAGATTTTCCCCAATGCCTACATTACCCAGAATGCCACACAGTTCTGGGTAAGGCTTCACCTAAATGATAAATAAATAATTTAGGTGATATGGAGATATGAAGTGATATTGTTTTATTGTGCTTCCCAAGAAAACAATGAAGAAAATTTGAGCTTTTTAACATAAAGGCTTCAATATCTAGAAGAACTGTTGGTTTCATGTCAGCTTCCTAACCTCAGCGTCCTTGAGGAACTGTTAGAAATATTTTATTTATACTCTGTTTGTTTTTCATGGGTTGTGTACTAAAGAACTATTATGATGTATAATGTGTGATTCATCGTTTATTAACTCTTGTTAAAAATCGTTCCAGATAAAGGTCATGCAATGGACGGGTTGTGAAAGAGGCCTGAACATCTATCACATGTTTCTTCTAAACATGTGTTCTTGGAACAATTCAATTGTAAAACAACCACATGCTTTGTTTTAATATATACATATGTGCTGAGGTTTAAAGTAAGATCATTTTGTTTCCCTTTCCCTTAGTTAAACCTCAGCTTGTGTAATTAGGGACATCCCCTGACTTCAAAAAATAGGGAGGAGAAAGCTGAAGACTGCAGAGTGGGTTGGAGATTTGTAAACTCTGCAGTCTCTTCCTATTCTCCTCGCGAGTAAAACTAAATTAATTGTCTCTGTGCCTTCTTTGTTTCCCTGTATGTATGTATGATGTTTTAGGTGCTTAGACCTGACAGGAACCTTTCAGGCATTTCAAACATACAGTTCATAAAAGGGAAGTCATGGATCTAGCAGAGCTGGAGAAGAATGGAAAGTTTAAATGAAGGGGATCTTCCATGACAACCAGCTAAGACCTCTAGCTGAGTTTGGTTTAGAGCAGGCCACGTTTTATACAACTAGATCGTGTTAACTCTGGATATGAGCTGCTGGATTAGTTCTGTTTCATATTAATTTCTGTAATATTGCTTAAATAAAAATTTAATGCGTTATTTTAACTAGTCAGACCAACTTAAAATGTCAAGTATTTGAATCAATGTTTTCAGTTCACAAAAGATTTATAGTATTAAAGATGTCAAACACCCACTTTAGGACATTTCTGGAGACACAAGTCTGTCCAATAAAAGTAGAGTTAGATTATTATTAGACTATTAAACAAACACTGGTGGTCTTTTCTGATCTATATTTAATCTATTGCCTAGATAGATGTGAACTGGTGATGATAATTATAATAACAATGGTGTCCAACAAGCTACATTTTAGTTCTTTGTGTTCATAGGTGGTCCTCTCTTTAAGCCTCACATTAACCCACTCCTGATCACACCTACATTTGTTTTGCCGAATGTTCAACGCGTCAAATACCAACAGACAAGGGCCAGAAGTCATTCTGCAAACATAATACATAAAACACATCAAGCTCTTCTGATGACAGATGTGCATCCAAAATGTGCTCTGGTGGAGTTTAAATTTAGAGGCGCGGAGCGGAATGACAAAGTAATGTGAGGCTGAACGATACAAGTCAACAAAACTTCCACGGTTTGCTTTTGCTCAGTTTGAATAGCAAAGCACGTGCCTTTTACAGCAATAACCGGGTTTTAATTCAAAAACGTAATTATTCCATATTTAATCTATTTAAAAGCTGTTTTTTTGAAAGGTGAAATGTACTTCTGTCCATTTTCATAGAGCCTAATAACAACAGATGTAATTTGAAGGTAGTTTCTGATTAATATGCTAATATACAAAATCCAAATTCAGTTCAGATAATTCAATCAGTTATTGTAGCTTTTTAGAGCAATGTGATTTGATCCTAATTATAACACAGAACAATCAAGATCAACATAGTGTTGATCATATAACTGGTTAAAGGTGATCTAGAAGCCAAGGGTGCACATTAAACTATATAGAAAAACAACTTGTCAGTTAAACTATTGAGACCTGAGCTGGCTTTTAGATTCTACAAAACAAATATTAAAACGTCCCTAGAATTATATCAGAGGTGACAGAAATAAGGGAACAGACGAATATACCGCATAAATATTCTGTCACACCAGCTCTAAGCAGGAGCAAAGCCAAGGTGACCTGAGCCACAACGTCACTGAAATTGCTTCATTTGCAGAAATGTTTTAATTTTCCTGGATCCAGACCGAGCGAGACGAGCTATGAGCCCCTCTGACCTGATGACCAAGCACCAGCACTTCCAAACGCTACGCTCAATAAGCAGAAGGGAGGGTCGGAAAAGTCATGTTCTTGAGGGCACTAGCTGCAGGACATCCGCTGAAAGGGCACAGCTTCTGATAGGTTTACATCTAGGCTTCTGTAAACAGGTGACAGAATAAGCTAAAGCCTTAACCGCTGATTAAAAATAAACCATGTAAAACTCTACTGACTGATTTGTTTTTACCTGTGATGAAACATTTCTATTCTTCTTAGAAATGCCTCCTAAATTGATTCTTACTAATTTTGTGTTAGTAACATCTTAGAAAAGAAATTTAGTTAGCATCGACAGCTTAGCATCATTTGAAAAACTAGTTTTATGATTTGGGCAAAATGTAAGGAGAGCTGCAAATAATTTGATTTTGTTTTTTATACACTCTGTGTATACAAAATAACAATAAAAGGTGTCTGAGTCTAAGTGGATAAAGACAACATCTTACTTTAAACAGAACCCGAAAAGCTAAGAAAAAGAATCACATTTAAAAAGTTAGTTATGGCTAGAAGATTAAATCCATTCTTCAACAACCTAAGGATTTGAAAGGCAGTAAATGCACACTTGTTAAGATTACGAACCAACAACACAACCTTGAATGAAATCTTCTCTAATGCAGGCAATACAAGCTCCAACATCCACAAATACCCTCATTAGTATGTGGTTAAACTTCCTTTAAGTCGCATCTCAACCACTCGCAGCCATCAAAGAGGTTTTGCCAGCACTCTGGCTGGATCTTTGAAAACTATCTTGGACAAAATTTGCAGAGTTAATTGGATTCCTGGCAGAGATTCAGTTCCAAAAATGGTTTAGAAAATTTCAATAGATATGAGAAGGACACAGCTATGGGAAGAGCAATCTAGAAAGCTAAATGTCAGGATGCTCTTGCAGTTTTCTAAGCCATATGCCATTCCTGATTCAACCAGTAAATAAACCCAAGTGCCCTGAAATAAAGCAAAAATCTTCTACTACTGCACCCCAGGACTGTGTTTCATGTCATTGTCCTAATAAAGCACATAACTATCTGCAAGTACCAAAAACCAGACCCAAATTATTGTCATCAAATGAAGGAGTTTAATGAAGATGTTCAGGAAGCCCACAATTAAATGAAAATTGTTCACATGGCACGGTGACTGTCAATAATGGAGCCTGCTTAGCATCACAATGAACTAAGGGGTTCATAACCAAGAATAAAGTCCTTATTTCAAAATCAGTATCTTAATGTTGGCCTTATATCTGCAGCACCCAGTATGGACAGGCAAAATATCCTCTGGAGAAATGTTTAAGGGGCAGAGGAGACAAAGATTGAGCTATTTGTTCAAACCTTTAAGAACATTTTGGAGCAGGGATGTCACCAATGAGTATTTTAGGATTGTATCAATCTGTTGATTTTTTTTTTTTTCAATTAATGGTAAGATAGCAAAAGGTGCCTGAGAGAAACTTTTATACAGAATTTAGACCATGTAAAATTAAAACTGTTCCAGTTGATAAATTCTGGATAATCACAGACAAACAAAAGGTTTTTCATCATAAATGCAAAATCTATATATTTTTTACTATTTTGGCATATTCACTGCTCTGATTGGGATGCTCTTTTAGCTAATGGCATATGTTATTCTGTATATCTCCAGCTAATGATTAATAGATTACTAAAGCTGACAATCATTTTATTAATCAAGTATTATTGTTTCAGCCCTAATTTGAAGGAGCCAAAGAAGCTTTGAAATCTAAGAACACAAACTGTACAAACTGTCACGCACGGTGGTGGCAGTATCATGCTGTGGGGCTGCTTGATTGCCTATAGTATTTTGCACTGCATAAGCATTGTTATTTTAAATACGGACATTCATTTTTTCTCTCCGTGTTGGACTACGATGACATGATTTATATTGAGTGTTGCTCTCTTGTGAAAAGGCTGGACTTAGAATATTAGTTATTTTTGTTTTATAATTAATGCAAGACTCTTCTTTCCAATTGTACATATAAGTTTAGGATGGGTTTCTTTAAAGTAGAGAAGTGCTTGTTTCTACTCTTAAATGCAAAAGCTTGATCTGGTCTTTTAGCGTCCCAGATTTTAATCCATTTATCATACTTGGTATGAGGATCCAATTGAATTTTCCCAAAAAGAATAGAAGATTAGGTAAAAAAAAATACACAACTGTTTTTTTGTTCTGCTTCACATATTTGTTAGTTATAAAATATCAATGTTAAAGACAATTCCCACTCTTTAGATTCATGAAACCGCTTTGTTTTGTGTTTTTTTTTCTGGTTTTGAAATTACAATGAACTGTACTTGGTTTTGGTTGGTTTTAGCAACCAAAACCAAGCATTCTCTCTGTTTTAAAACAGAGAGAATGCCAATATCATCATAAGATTAAAGGGATTATAACAATGCAACAGACTCCTTAGATGTTATATTTCAGGTGCAGAACTTCTCATATTAATAATGAATGCAACCAATGAGAGACTTTGCTGATTGTTCTTTTAAAAATCCAGGAAAATGTTAATTTCCAAATACACTTAAGAATCTGGAAAATGATATACACCCTTAGATAATGAAAAAAAAGGTACAAAATGTTTGTTTCTCATTAAGTTATTAAACAATAACAAAGTAATTTAACTACCTATGCAGCACCGATTCGCTGCTAAAATCCTCTCAAGGTACTTTTCAAGTCGACTAGTATGGTCTATACAGGGAAACATAGAATTAATCCCATCAGATTTCAGATATAGATTCCTAATCTGTATAAATCTGAATAATCAATATCTCTAAATCTTATTTAATATCCTCCTTTTGAGCTTTTCTTTGCAAAACTTTCAGATTATTCTGTTTTTCTTGGGCTGCTGAAAAAGTTGTTTTATGCTTACATTCTGTCTTACTGATATTAAATAAGCATCAGTGCTTCTATGAAACTGTAGGGGGAGAGTTGGGTTACATCATGGACAGATCCCCATAGAGTCACACAGGTAAAAACAACCCATCCAGCTGACCCAGCAGGCATGTTTAAAACTGTAGGAGGAAGAAACGCTTGGCTGGGATTTGAACCGAGAACCTTCATGCTGCAAAACAGTTTTACTAACTGCGTCACTGTAGGCATGCACAATAACAAAATAGAGAGTTAATCTGTTATGTTAACAATATATCAGATTTTTATTCTATAAAATGTAAATATTAGGCTAAATATCTTAATAAGAACGTGTCAGCGATAGGATGGGTGCATTTAAGCAGTAATCTGATCAGGAGTTCATTTTTACAGGTTTAGTTTAATTTAACAAGGTCTGAAAGGAGAAGAAAGTAAACTATCACTCTTTTTTTGGAATAAAACAAAAACAAACGCAAGCAATTGAATTCAATTAAACGCTAAAACCAGGTTAGATGCTCCTCTGCTGACATCTAAGTGCTGTCTCTCAGTTTCCCTGTGGATTATTCCATAAACTCAGCTTTGTTTTAGAGAAATAATCCCGGTTATCAGGACTCACAGCGTGTGGCCGCAGACGTTCACCATCAGCTTCAGGGACGGGTTTCGGTACTTGGTGGTTTTGCATCTCGGACAACCTTGGTCGTCCATTTTTCCCTTCTGTTTGAGACAGGCTTCAGAAAAAAGTAATCATCTGTAAGATAAGAGCACCGAGGAGAGCTAAGGCGTCACACCAAAAGCGCTCCGGTGGAAAACTGCTCAATAACAATGGTTCCTATTCCGCAGAAGAAAAAAAAGTGAAATATCTCGATGTACATTCTGGTGTACATACAAACAACAGCTTCATTTATAAATTCAATCTTCTTTGATAGCACTCAATGAGCATCCCTTGTCTTCATATGGCATATACCAACTCTACAAGAGGGGGGGGCAATCCTGAAGCGAACTAAGGGCCCCAAAAACCATCAAGGAAAATCTATTTTTTAATTCTGACATGGACAATATATTTTTTTAGTTTTTTTATGCATTGATTAAGAATGATAATACTGTCATTTTTGACATGACAGATTCAGCATACATAATCTAGCATTTTTTAGGTGCTTAAAATGTATTTCTTTAGATTTTGAATTTACAGTTTACAACATAAATCTTAGAAAAGCTGCAAAACTAAAATATTATTTTTACATTTTGTGTTATCATAGTTAACTTCTGATGCAATTAGTTTAAATGTTTTTTAAATTAATTTGTTTACAAATACATCTCAGCAAATAAACAATAATCAATCGTCCATTAAAGTGGAACAGGGTGGTGATGGTTTAAACAGGAAGAGAATTGTCCCTAAAACACCTTGCAAAAACTTTCTAAACTTTTCACAATCTGAGTGCACCTCTTGTTCACAGTCACCTTTATGTAAAATCACAGATTTTCTGAAAAATGTTCATCTGGACATTGAACTACCTCTTTTTTTATTTAAATGTAAGTATTTGGGCTGACTGTGATGCTGAAAAATAATGCTTTTTACCTTGACAGTAACCTTGATTCAATTTTGGATAAACGTCAACCCACAGCATGATGCCACTACCATGTTTCACTGTGTTCCCAGTACTATGATGTTTTACATGTAACCAGAAATTTATTTTATTTTCCAACAAAGCATTCCTT